CTGGGGCGAATTTGGGGGATTTGGGATTTGGGGGTGAATTTGTGGGATTTTGGGTCAAATTCATGGGATTTGGGGCAAATTTGGGGCGAATTTGGGAGATTTGGGGATTTTGGGGTGAATTTGTGGGATTTGGGGCAAATTCATGGTGAATTCGGGTGGTTTTGGGGGTGATTTCTGGGGACTTTGGGGATTGATTGGGATATGGGGTGAATTTGTGGGATTTTGGGCAAATTTGGGGCGAATTCGGGAGATTTGGGGATTTTGGGATGAATTTGTGGGATTTAGGGTGAATTCAGGCGGTTTTGGGGGTGATTTCTGAGGGATTTTGGGGATTGATTGGGATATGGGTTGAAATCTGGGGCGAATTTGGGGGATTTGGGATTTGGGGGTGAATTTGTGGGATTTGGGGTCAAATTCATGGGATTTTGGGCAAATTTGGGGCAGATTTGGGGGATTGGGGGATTTTGGGGTGAATTTGTGGGATTTTGGGCAAATTCATGGTGAATTCAGGTGGTTTTGGGGGTGATTTCTGGGGACTTTGGGGATTGATTGGGATATGGGGTGAATTTGTGGGATTTTGGGGTGAATTTGTGGGATTTTGGGGCAAATTTGGGACGAATTTGGGAGATTTGGGATTTTGGGGTGAATTTGTGGGATTTGGGGCAAATTCAGGGCGAATTCGGGCGGTTTTGGGGGTGATTTCTGAGGGATTTTGGGGATTGATTGGGATATGGGTTGAAATCTGGGGCGAATTTGGGGGATTTGGGATTTGGGGGTGAATTTGTGGGATTTGGGGTCAAATTCATGGGATTTTGGGCAAATTTGGGGCAAATTTGGGGGATTGGGGGATTTTGGGGTGAGTTTGTGGGATTTTGGGCAAATTCAGGGCGAATTTGGTTGGTTTTGGGGGGCAATTTCTGGGGACTTTGGGGATTGACTGGGACATGGGGTGAATTCATGGGATTTGGGGCGAATTCATGGGATTTGGGGGTGAATTTGTGGGATTTGGGGCAAATTCATGGTGAATTCGGGTGGTTTTGGGGGTGATTTCTGGGGACTTTGGGGATTGATTGGGATATGGGGTGAATTTGTGGGATTTGGGGGTGAATTCATGGGATTTTGGGATGAATTTGTGGTATTTGGGGGCAAATTTGGGGCGAATTTGGGGGATTTGGGATTTGGGGGTGAATTTGTGGGATTTTGGGCAAATTCAGGGCGAAATCGGGCGTTTTTGGGGGCGATTTCTGGGGACTTTGGGGATTGATTGGGATATGGGGTGAATTCATGGCATTTTGGGTTGAATTCATGGGATTTTGGGGTGAATTTGTGGGATTTGGGGCAAATTTGGGGCGGATTTGGGAGATTTGAGGATTTGGGGTGAATTTGGGGGATTTGGGGCAAATTCAGGGCAAATTTAGGTGGTTTTGGGTGCGATTTCTGGGGGACTTTGGGGATTGATTAGGATATGAGGTGAATTCATGGGATTTTGGGGTGAATTCATGGGATATTGGGGTGAATTTGTGGGATTTGGGGGTAAAATCTTGGGATTGAGGGTGAAAATCCAGGGATTTGGGATGAAAATACTGGAATTTTGGGATTGAAGTCTTGGGATTTGGGAAGAAATCTTGGGATTTGGGGTAAAATCTTGGGATTTGGGGTATAAATATTGGGATTTGGGGGTGAAATCTTTGGTTTTGGGGCAAATTCGTTGGATTTAGGGTGAAAATCTTGGGATTTGGGATGAAAATCTTGGGACTTTGGGATGTAATCTTGGGATTTGGGGTAAATTTTTTTATTTTGGGTAATCATTTTGGGATTTGGGGGTGAAATCTTGGGTTTGGGGGCAAATTAATTGGATTTAGGGTGAAAATCTTGGGATTTGGGATGAAAATCTTGGGATTTGGGATGTAATCTTGGGATTTGGGGTAAATTTTTTATTTTGGGTGATAATCTTGATCTTGGGATTTGGGGGTGAAATCTTGTGTTTGGGGGTGAAATCTTGGGTTTGGGGGCAAATTCATTGGATTTAGGGTGAAAATCTTGGGATTTGGGATGAAAATCGTGGGTTTTTGGGATGAAATCTTGGGATTTGGGGTTAAATCTTGGGATTTTGGGGCCAGACCTCGCTATTTCACCCCGTACCCTCGGGATTTTGGGACGAACTCTTGCCATCCAGGCACCGACGCCGACTGTGACCCCCACCCCACAGAAGCCGCCCCCCCAGCGCCACCGGGGTCTGGGTCTGGGGTCGGGGGGACCCCCGATTTGAGGAGGCAGTTGGGGTTGCTGCTGCAGACTGCGGGGCGCTGTCAGGTGGAAAGGATGCTGCGGGAGCTGGTGCGGGAACAGGGCCCAGGGGGGACCCGACGTGGGAGGAGGAGAGCGGCACGAAACCCCAGGGATGGAGGTGGGAGCAAAAATTGGGGATTGGGAGCCTCAAATCTGGGGGTTGGAATGTGAGATTTGGGGTTGGGAGATGTAAATTTGGCGTCTGAAGCCCCAGATTTTGGAGGGTGGGATTGAGAATGTGGGGGTGGGAGCCCCAAATTTGGAGTGGGATTGAAAATGTGGGGGTGGGAGCTCCAAATTTGGCATTGGGAGCTGCAAATTAGGGGGGTGGGACTGAGAATTTGGGGGTGGGAGTCCCAGATTTGGGGCTGGAATGTGAGATTTGGGGTTGGGAGATGTAAATTTGGCGTCTGAAGCCCCAAATTTTGGAGGGTGGGATTGAGAATGTGGGGGTGGGAGCTCCAAATTTGGCACTGGGAGCCCCAAATTAGGGGGGTGGGACTGCAAATCTGGGGGTGGGGACCCAAACTTGGGGACTGGTGACCCAAAACTTAGGGTTGGGAACCCCAAGTTTGGCATCAGGAGGACAAAATTTGGGAGGAGGAACTGAGAATTTGGGGGTGGGAGCCCAAGATGTGGACTGGGAGTGAAAATGTGGGGGTGGGAACCCCAAATTTGGCATTGGGAGCCCCACTATGGGCACAAAACCCCAACTTTGGACACAGGACCCCCAGTTTTGGCACAGGAACCCAACTTTGGGCACAGGACCCCCAGTTTTGGCATAGGACCACAAATTATGGCACGGAACCCTCGATTTTGGCATAGGATTTCCAATTTTGACATAGGAACCCAACTTTGGGGACGGGACTCCCAATTTTAGCACAGGACCACAAATTAGGGCTGGGGACTCCCAGTTTTGGCACAGGACCACAAATAAGGGCATGGGACCCCAAATTTTGTCACAGGAACCAAACTTTGGGCACGGGACCCTCAGTTCTGGCATAGGACCCTCAATTTTGGCATAGGACCCCCAATTTTGGCACAGGAACCAAACTTTGGTCACAGAACCTCCAATTTTGGCACAGGAAAACAAGTTAGGGTACAGAACCCCCAATTTTGGCACGAGACGCCCAATTATGGCACAAGCCCCCCAGCATCGGCATGGGGACCCCTAGTATTGGCAAAGGACCCCAAATTTGGGCACGGAACCTCCAATTTTGGGATGGAAACAGGGGTGTATTCAGAGCACACGGTTCAGGGACACCTACGGGTGCTAATGTTGCTCCCACGGCACAGGTGCCGGCGCTGAGGACCCATCCCCAAACGGAGCGGATCCATCCCCATCTCCATCTCAACCAGAACCCGTTGCCAAAACCCAACGCCGCAGCACCAAGAAGAGCGACCCAACGCCGGCGCCGTGCGCCGAATGCGCCCGCAGTGCCGCCTCCAAACCACGCTGTTGCCTGGGCTGCTCCCGGCGTTGCCGCGCCGCCGTCGTCGCCGCCGAAAAACCACACCGTTGCGTCGAGTGTGGCAAAGGCTTCAGCCGTGGTTCCAACTTGACCCAACACCGACGCATCCACACCGGAGAACGGCCGCACCGTTGCGGCGATTGCGGCAAAGGTTTCATCCAACGCTCCGATCTGGAGAGGCACCGCCGCGTGCACACCGGAGAGAGGCCGTATCCTTGCGGGGATTGTGGGAAGAGCTTCAGTGTCAGCTCACATCTGGATCGGCACCGCCGGACGCATGCAGGAACCGTGGTGGGTAGCCGTAGCACGCATCGCCCGGTGCCGGTGAATGACGTCGGTTCATCGGCGTCGCATCGGTGCCCGGAGTGTGGCAAAGGATTTGGCCAACGCTCGGCTCTTTCCAAACACCGTAAGACGCACGGAGGTGAACGGCCTCATCGATGTGGGGATTGTGGCAAGAGTTTCAGCCGCGGTTCTAACCTGACCCAACACCGGCGTATCCATACCGGAGAGAGGCCGTTTGCTTGCGGTGATTGCGGCAAAGGTTTCATCCAACGCTCTGATCTGGAGAGGCACCGCCGCGTGCACACCGGAGAGAGGCCGTATCAGTGTGGGGAGTGCGGGAAGAGTTTCAGTGTCAGCTCACATCTGGAGAGGCACCGGAAGATCCACGTGGCCGAGCGGTGCCATGAGCACGTGGAGGAGTTTTTGGCTGCGCACCGACACGGCCGGGCTTATAAATGTGGGGAGTGCGGGCGCTGCTTTGGCCAAGGGGCCGCGTTGCTGAAGCACCAGCGGGCTCACGCCGGTGGGCGCCCACCACCCCATCAGTGCTCCCATCAGAGCGATGGGGACGGGGATGGCACGGCGACGCCGGCGCCTCCGGAGAAGCCCTACAAGTGTGGGGATTGCGGGAAGGGCTTCGGGCAGCGTTCGGCCTTGGTGAAACACCGGAGGATCCACACCGGGGAGAAGCCGTACGCCTGCGGGGATTGCGGGAAGGGTTTCATCCAAAAGTCAGATCTGACCATCCACCGACGGATGCACACCGGAGAGAAGCCGTACCGCTGCGGGGAGTGTGGGAAGTGCTTCAGTGTCTCCTCCAATCTCCTCACCCATCGGCGTACCCACCTCGGAGAGAAGCCCTACGGCTGCCCTGAATGTGGCAAGAGCTTCATCCAACGCTCTGAGCTCACCATCCATCGCCGTGTGCACACTGGAGAGAAGCCCTACGCCTGCCCAGCCTGTGGCAAATGCTTCAGCCGGAGCTCCCATCTCAACCGGCACCGGCGCACCCACGCCGGGGAAAAGACCCCCGCGCCGCCCCCCGCTGACCTCCGAGCCGACGTTGGACCCCCACCCTTCCCCTCCACCGGACCCCCCCTGCCGTTGTCCCCCCTGGAGCTGCCCTGGGCTCTCTCCTTCCCCGCCCGAGCCTTTGTGCCCCCTGGGTTCCCACCGCCTGCCGCTGCAGCACCCGGAGCTCCAGCGTCGTCCCTGGCCGAGTGAGCGCGGCACGGGGAGCTGCAGGTCACTGTGTTGGGGGAATGATGGCTGGTGGGATCCGTCAGTTCCCATTTCCATGTCTATGTGAGGACACCGACCCGTTGGGATCCATCAGTTCCCATTTCCGGGTCTGTTTGGGGACATCCATCCATTGGGATTCGTCAGTTCCCATTTCCGGGTCTGTTTGGGGACATCCATCCATTGGGATCTGTCAGTTCCCATTTTTGGATCTGTTTGGAGACATTGACCCACTGGAATCTGTCAGTTCCCATTTTGGGGTCTGTTTGGGGACACTGACCCACTGGGATCCGTCAGTTCCCATTTCCATGTCTATATGAGGACTTTGACCTGTTGGGATCCATCAGTTCCCATTTCCATGTCTGTTTGAGGACACTGACCCATTGGGATCTGTCAGTTCCCATTTTTGGGTCTGTCTGGGGACATTGACCTGCTGGGATTCATCAGTTCCCATTTTTGGGTCTATATGGGGTCATCCATCCATTAGGATCTGTCAGTTCCCACTTCCACGTCTATACTGGGGACATCCATGCATTGGGATCCATCAGTTCCCATTTCCATGTCTATGTGGGGACATCCACCCACTGGGATTCATCAGTTCCCATTTCCAGGTCTGTTTGGGAACATCCATCCATTAGGATCCATCAGTTCCCATTTCCTGGTCTCTTTGAGGATGCTGATCATTTGGGATCCATCATTTTCTCCCTTCACATCCCTTTGGGGACATCCACCCACTGGGACATGCCTGTCCCCAGCTCCAGTCCCACTGTGGGACAGCTGATAGTAGGGATCCATCCGTTCCCATTTCCAGCCACATCGGGATCCATCCCAACACTTCTTTGCCTATTGGGCTCACTGCAATCCCACTGGGATCCATCCTAATATCTCTATATCCATTTGGGATCACCACGATCCCATCAGGATCCATCCATCCCAACACCTCTGTGTCCTTTGGGATCTCCCCAGTCCCATTGGGATGATTCATCCATCCCAAAAACTCTGTGCCCACTGAGATCACTCCAATCCCATTGGGATCTCCCCAATCCCACAGGGATCCCATTGGGATTCATCCCAACGCTTCCATGTCCATTTGGGATCACTCAGATCCCATTGGGATTCATCCCAGTACCTCCATGTCATTTGGGATCACTCAGATCCCATTGCGATTCATCCCAGTACTTCCATGTCATTTGGGATCACCATGACTCCATTGGAGTCCATCCCAACACCTCTGCGCCCATTGGGATCATTCCAGTCCCACTGGGATCCATCCCAACACTTCGTGTCCTTTGGGATCTCTCAGATCCCACTGGGATCCATCTCAATGCCTTTATGCCCATTGGGATCTCTCCAATCCCATTGGGATCTCTCCAGTCCTATCATGATCTATCCCAACACTTTGGGATCTCTCCGATCCCATGGGGATCCACCCCCACCCCTCTGCGCCCTTTGGGCTCATTCCACTCCCACTGGGACCCATCCCAACACTTTGTGTCCTTTGGGATCTCTCAGATCCCACTGGGATCCATCTCAATGCCTTTGTGCCCATTGGGATCTCTCCAGTCCTATCAGGATCTATCCGAACACTTTGGGATCTCTCCAATCCCATGGGGATCCATCCCAACACCTCTGCGCCCATTGGGATCATTCCAATCCCACTGGGATCCATCCCAACACTTTGTGTCCTTTGGGATCTCTCAGATCCCACTGGGATCCATCTCAATGCCTTTGTGCCCATTGGGATCTCTCCAATCCTATTGGGATCTCTCCAGTCCTATCATGATCTATCCCAACACTTTGGGATCTCCCCGATCCCATGGGGATCCATCCCAACACCTCTGTGTCCATTGGGATCACCCCAATCCCATGGGGATCCATCCCAACACCTCTGTGTCCTTTGGGATCGCTCCAATCCCATTTTGGTGCTGCAGCTGCAAATTCAATCAATTCCCTACTTTGTTTCTATTTTTAACTCCTTTTCCCCACTTAATTACCCTTTTTTTACCCCAATTCCCCACCCCATTTCCTCATCCCGCCCTATTTCCCCTAAGATTTACCAAATCTCCTCGGGCCGTCCCCGAGAAAACTTACAAACTGAAGCAGAAAAATGGGTAATTTTGGGGTTATTTTCACCTATTTCTGCTGAAACACATGAATTATCAAGGGTGGTTTCGGGGCAGGTTCAGTTGAACGGTATCAACGGACAGTATTGTTTTTTTTTTTTTAATTATTATTATTTTTTACTGTTTTGTGTCTCTGTGATTTCTCAACGCGTGGGGGGTCCTCCTGTGGGTGCACAAAATGGGGAGAAAACACCCAGATTTGGGTCAGCTGCACAGGACGTTGGAACTGAACAACGTGGACTCATCACTTCACACGGAGCTGCAGCCGCTCACGCTGGGTTTACCCAATTCCCCATTTCTGTACCCAAAACGGGAGAAAAAAAAAAAAAAAAAAAAAAAATGGGCCTTTTTCAGTTGTCTGGGTTTGTTCTTTTTTTTTAAGAAAAAAAAAAAATATAGATTTTTGTTGTTAGTTGTGGTGTGATGGTTTATTTCAGAGCAGCCTCAGAATTGGGGCCCAAATCGGGATGAAAAAAGTTTTCCATGTAAAAATGTTTTTCTGCAAAGTGTTTTTCACCTAAACTGACCGTTTTCCACCTCAAAAAAAGGCATTTCCCACCCCAAAAGACCCATTTTCTACCTAAAATATAGCAGCCTTTGGCTTGAGAAGACTCATCTTCAACGTAAAATTTACACAGAAATTGAGTTTTCTACCTTGAAGTGGTGATTCTCAGCTTACAAATGCCAGTTCTCTACCCAAAACCAATCTTTTTCCACCCAAAATGGTTTTCACTCACCTAAAAAAACCTTTTTCCTACTCAAATACGGCCTTTTCTACCTAAAAATCATCCCATCATACGTTACCTGACACAAAAAGCTTTTCCTACCTTAAAAACTTGTCATTTTCCACCTGAAAAAGAATGATGTTCTAATCAAGAACACTAAAAAGTGAAAACTTGAGTTTTTCGACCCAAAAATGGCCTTTTCTAAGTAAAAAATGGACTTTTGCACCTGAAAACTGTCTCCTTGAGTCCACTTCATTTTCTGTCCAATCCAAAAATGGTCCTTTCTACCTAAAAACCGATCCTTTCCTACCTAAAAATTGGATTTTTCTACTTAAAGGGACTCATTTTTTAACTCCAAATCCATGCTTTCTACCTAAAATTAATGTTTCCCCACCTCAAAGTGGCCTTTTCTTCTAACTAAAAAATGGTGTTTTTTCCCCCTCCAAGTCATTTTTTCCACCCAAAACCTTTTGCTGACCCCAAAACGGGACTTCTGGACCCAAACATGGCGTTTTCTTTCAGCATTCCACGACAAAGCCTTACAAATTGGGTCACAAAAACACAAAATCCTTAAGTTTGAACCT